TATATATATATATATATATATATATATATATATATATATATATACATATAGAATGCTGCACCAAACAAATTCATAAGGGGAAAATGTAAACAATAAGCCTACTCCTTAGCAGATTCTAAGTGATCAAGGGCTTAGGACGTTCCAGTTCAGCCCTTTCAAGGATTCCACCAGTAGTGGGCACTCATGCAACGTAATCAATGATGTACATCCGAGTAAATGAGACAGAGGGAAGTTAGTGAGTGAAGGGCATAAAAAATGGACTGGGACGCAGCCTAAATCTGAGCTTGAGTTGTTGTTTGTCAGTTGATGTTCCTGTATGCATTTTCCCAGTTGATGCTCCCTTGCTTTCTCTGTGTGGATTATGTTCCTGAGTCCCTTATGTGGATTACACCTTGGTTCTTGGCTTGGATTATCTGTGTTTTAATAAACTTTTGTGTTTACACTTGGATTCTCGCTCCTCCTTGTCCTGGCTGACACTTAACACTAGTTAACATTTCCTGCTGGTAGATGTTGGAACTACACAAGTAAACATCATGTTTCCACTTTGACTGCCTTTTAAAAATGACCATTTTTCCTATTAACTGTGTTTGTATACTTAGTTGATTCACATACTATTGGGGCGATCAACACTTGAACTGCGATGCCTCCTGCCTGCAACAAAAATAGGAACAAAAGTGAGCAGGTGCAAATGTTTCAAATGTTTGAAAGTTTCACTAAGTTACATTAAAACTGAAAATATTATTAGAATACTCTATTTCAGAACACTGAAAGGAAGCCTTTCTGAAAATGCACTTCTTGCTCTTGAATTTAATTCTCTTTGTTCCTTATTAAATATTGTCACAAGCTATCAACCAAGTAGAACAGACTTGCACAATTGAGTTTAATCAGTTGTATCTTAGAAATGGCTAGGAATTGGGCATCTGGATGATTTTTACATCTAGTACTGTATTTCTAACTGCATGAGGTGAACAACTGAACAATTTATCTTAAAACAGCATACAGTATGTGGTTATATTGCTCTTACAAAACACTCAATTGGAGCAATGATGGCAATAACAGGTACCAATTATAATGTTCTATAATATTTTATTTTAAAATTATTACATTTCCTATCAAATGCAAAAGTGCTGATGTTTTGAGTGCTAATTTTAGTTTTTGTGTCATTTTAGTTTTAGTTTATTTAGTTTTAAAAAACCCATTTTATACACATTCAACAACACTCTCCTCTGAAACAATATAGTTTTAAGACAGTTACAGGCCACTACATTATTTGCACTTAAAATATAATGTTACAATATCATGATCAATTAATTATTGTGGTATTCAGGGAATGGTGATATGGACCTGATCTAAATAGTATTTTCTTAAATCAGAAGATTTGATATGATTGCATGAACTTTAAAAACAGATAACAATTGACAATACCAAATTTTCAAATCAATCTTTCAGAGCAGTTTGAGCTGTAGTGATGCAGTTATAAACAGGTCATTTATAAGCCTACAGTATGTCCAAATCACCCAGTCACCCGATACAGTTTCTGTCATTTCTAAATTCCTCATTGGAGAAAGGCAAATCACACAACAGACAGTGTTCTGGCCTCCTGATGCTTCTGCGATGAAGCAGCTTATGCTTTTCGAAATATGCTTAGGGATACATCATTTGTCAATTTGTCTTGTTTAGTATCAACAGCACTAAATATGAGAGAGACTGATAGTCGTTGTTTAATAGATGTTAAACAGCTCAACAGATGTAAACTAAAACAAATACAGCAGTTGACTTACTGTGGGGCCGATCCAAGTCTGGACTCCTTCTGCGAACTGCACAACACAAGAAAACACACACACACACACACACACACACACACACACACACA